ACAAGGAATACCTAGGATCTAACTACCATTCACTAGGAATGTCCCATTAGGATCCAATTACCATTAACTAGGAATAACTACTACCATTTACTAGAAATACCTGGGATCTAACAACCATCCACTAGGAATACCTGGGATCTAACTACCATTCACTAGGAATACCTGGGATCTAATTACTATTCACTAGGTATACCTGAGATCTAGGAATGATTGGGATCTAACTATCATTCACTAGGAATACCTGGGATCTAACTATCATTCAATATGAATACCTGAGATCTAACTACCATTCACTAGGAATACCTGGGATCCTATTACCATTCACTACTTGAGATCTAACTACCATTCACTAGGAAATTTTGGGATCTAAGTACAATTCACTGGGAATGTTTTGGATCTAACTACCATTCACTAGGAATACTTGGGATCTAACTACTATTCCCAAGGAATACCTGTGATCTAACTACCATTCACTAAGAATGCCTTGGATCTAACTACCACTCACTAGGAATACTTGGGATCTAACTACTATTCATTAGGAATGTTTAGGTTCTAACTACCATTCACTAGGAATACTTGGGATCTAAATACCATTCACTAGGAAATTTTGGGATCTAACTACCATTCACTATTAATATTTTGGATCTAACTATCATTCACTAGGAATACTTGGGATCTAACTACTTTTCCCTAGGAATACCTGTGACCTAACTACCATTCACTAAGAATGCCTTGGATCTAACTACCACTCACTAGGAATGAGAGGGTTCTAACTACCATTCACTAGGAATACCTGGGATCTAACTACCATTCACTAGGAATGTTTTGGACCTAACTACCATTAACTAGGAATACTTGCGATACTACCATTTACAAGAAATACCTGGGATCTAACTACTATTCATTAGGAATGTTTAGGATCTAACTACCATTCACTAGGAATACTTGTGATACTACCATTTACAAGAAATACCTAGGATCTAATTACGATTCACTAGGAATGTTTGGGATGTACATACCATTCACTAGGAATACCTGGGATCTAACTACCATTCACTAGGAATACCTGTGATCTAACTACCATTCACTAAGAACACCTGGGATCTAACTACTACTCACTAGGAATGAGAGGGTTCTAACTACCATTCACTAGGAATGTTTTGGACCTAACTACCATTAACTAGAAATGTTTGGGACCTAACTATCATTCACTAGGAATACCTGGCATCCAACTACCATTCACTAGGAATGTTTGAGATCTTACTACCATTCACTAGGATTACCTGGGATCTAACTACCATTCACTGGGGATACCTGGCATCTAACTACCATTCACTAGGATTACCTGGGATCTAACTACCATTCACTAGGAATACCTGGAATCTAACTATCATTCGCTAGGAATACCTGGGATCTAACTACCATTCACTAGGTATACCTGGGATCTAACTACCATTCACTAGGAATACTTGGGATCTAACTATTATTCCCTAGGAATACCTGTGATCTAACTACCATTCACTAAGAATACTTAGGATCTAACTACCACTGACTAGGAATGAGAGGGATCTAACTACCACTCACTAGGAATGTTTTGGACCTAACTACCATTAACTAGAAATGTTTGGGATCTAACTATCATTCACTAGGAATACCTGGGATCCAACTACCATTCACTAGGAATGTTTGGGATCTAACTACCATTCACTAGGAATACCTGCGATATAACTACCATTCACAAGAAATACCTGGGATCTGACTACGATTCACTAAGAATGTTTGGGATGTACCTACCATTCACTAGGAATACCTGGGATCTAACTACCATTCACTAGGAATACCTGGGATCTTACTACCATTCACTAGGAATACCCGGGATCTTATTACCATTTACTACGAATACCTGGGATATAGGAATGTTTGGAATCTAACTACCATGCACTAGGAATACCTGGGATCTTACTACCATTCACTAGAAATACCTGGGATCTTATTACCATTCACTAGGAATATCTGGCATCTAACTACCATTCACTAGGATTATCTGGGATCTAACTACCATTCACTAGGAATACCTGGGCTCTAACTAGGAATACCTGTTTGGGATCTAAATACCATTCATTAGGAAAACTTGGGATCTAACTATCATTCGCTAGGAATACCTGGGATCTAAATACCATTGACTAGGAATATCTGGGATCAAACTACCATTCACTAGAAATGTTTGTGTTCCAACTACCATTCACTACGAATGTTTGTATTCTAAATACCATTCATTAGGAATACCTCGGATCTAGGAATGTTTGGGATATAACAACCATTCACTTGGAAATTTTTGGATCTAACTACCATTCACTAGAAATACTTGGGATCCACGTACCATTCACTAGGAATGTTTGGGATCTAACTACCATTCACTAGGAAAGCCAAGGATCTATCTACAATTCACTAGGAATACCTGGGATCTAACTACCATTCACTAGGAATACCTGGGATCGAACTACCATTCACTAGGAATACCTGGGATCTTACTACCATACACTACGAATACCTGGGATCTAGGAATGTTTGGGATCTAACTACCATTCACTAGGATTACCTGGGATCTAACTACCATTCACTAGGAATACCTGGTATTTAACTCCCATTTACTAGGAATACCTGGGATCTAACTACCGTTCACTAGGATTACCTGGTATCTAACTACCATTCACTAGGAATACCTTGGATCTAACTACCATTCACTAGGAATACCTGGTATCTAATTATCATTCACTAGAAATGTTTGGGATCTAACTACCACTCAATAGGAATGTTTGGGATCTAACTACCATTCACTAGGAATACCTGGAACCTAACTACCATTCACTAGGAATAACTGGGATCTAATTATCATTCACTAGGAAAACCTTAGATCTAACTACCATTCATTAGGAATACCCGGGATCTTACTACCATTCACTAGGAATACTTTTGATCTAACCACCATTCACCAGGAATGCCAGGGATCTAACCACCAATCATTAGGAATGCCAGGGATCTAATTACCGTTCACTAGGAATGTTTGGGATCTAACTACCATTCACTAGGAATACCTAGGATCTAATTTTGGGATCTAACTGCCATTCAGTAGGAATGCCAGGGAACTTAAAATAATAAAATAAAATTATAAAAAACAATAAAAATGCATAAAAGAAGACGGTAACATTATCCACGTGGGTTTACGCGGGTCATTTCAGTTTTCTCCAGGGGAAACTAAGGTATTCTTGGGCTCCGGCACGGCTGGCTAGGTATGGGTCATTACAGTAGCACAAACAATAGTAGTATTGGTAGCACGAGCAATAACAGTAGAGGTAGTGTAAGCAATAGCAGTAGTGGGAGCACGAGCAATAGCAGTAGTGGTAGCACGAACATTATCAGTAGTGCTAGCACGAGCAATAGCAGTAGTGGTAGTACGAACAATTGCAGTAGTGTTAGTATGAGCAAAATATATAGCCGACACACCAACCTTGCAGTCAGTGCTCGCTCGCTCAGCATTGAAAGTGTGTGCAACAGTTTAAAGTTTTCAGATAATACCTTGAGGCTTACTTGTACCGTTTATTGCGCAAAATCATTGGTGTTTGTGTTTAGTTAACAATTACTGGATTAATATTAAGGTAAGGAAAAATGTTATAGACACATTAAGAGGCACATTGTGTAACGAAATCGCATGATATACTGTAGATTACATAGTTCGTGTAAATCACGTTTCCGAATGTTTCGGGTATCTCTATTAATAATTATAAAACATTATTGAAAATAAATTTCACATTTAGTAACAACATACACTAAAGTAGTTCAATTGCTCCCACTCTTTTAAACCATAACCAGTTTTTAGTAATTAGTAAATAGGTGTTGATAAAAGTAACATTAGTTTTGTGTTTGCAGAATACACGGCGAAGAATAAGCAAAACAATTAGGAGACTTGAGGGCCTCCAAAGTACGGTGACCGTCGCCCTCACATCCAATCTTCGGAACATGGCTGATAAAACACCACCTTACATTCCGGAAGATTGCCTTCCAGTTGAGGAAGAAACTGGTCTTCGATCTGAAGTTGTGCGAACCAACTCATTCTTCTGCCAGTCACTGCTGTGGAAAATGTCAGAGAATTCATTGATTTTGCTTCCGAACGCAAAGATCTCGAATGAAGATTTAGCCAACTGTAACAGTTACTGTTCCGAATCGAAAGAAAATTCGAGCGTGACACCGGATTCGCTATTCAAGCTAATAAGGCGATGCAGTGGTACGGAGAAGACTTCAATATTTGGAATTATGTTTAATGATCAACTAATCAAAATGCCTAGCAACCTGTCTACAGATATTTCATCGGAGAAAAAGTCAAAGGAGACGGCGCTTGAACTGCCCACAGAAAGATTCTGCAGTGCAAATACAGACATTTATGCCAAGGGAGTGGAGGGTCTAACAAGTAAAGTCCCCTCTAAAGAATTCTCTCTGAAGAGGTCCAGGAACCTGTCAACTGGAGGAGAATTTGAAGCTTCATTAGAAAAGAGAGCTAGGGTTTCAACAGAGGAAGTTGGTACAGCAGAACTGGGAAAGGAAAACTGTGTTATTTCACCGCCTATGTCACCAATATCACAAGACATGCCATTTGAGGCTCCATCAGAAGCCACTATGACAGAAACACAAGTAAAATCCGGGCTCTCACCTAATGAAGATAAGTCAGAAGGTCAAGCAGCAGAGAGAGTAGTGATATCTGAGGCCATAATAACCAGTGAGAAATCCACGGATGTTCCCACTGCAGGATCCACTAAAACTTTTGATAAAGAAAAAACTTCAGATGAATATTCTGACGGTGACAGATGTTCAATTTGTGGAAAAACAAATTGCCTTTTAGATCCTAAACGGGTATTGAAAATAAACCCCATTTCAATGCCTCAATTGTCACTTATTGGGAATTCAAGTCTCCACGAAAGTCAAAGCAAACTCAGCCTAATGTTATGATGGCGAAGAGGACGAAAACTCCATCGAAACGTTATATTAATACCCGAAGTTCAACAAACAAATTGGCTAAACGCATCGCTAACCACACACCACTTCATGTCTTCAAGTTAAATGTAATGTAAATGTTAATGTAAACCTTTAGTAGACATAACTAAATGTTTTTTATCAAATATATAATTTCCTTTGTGATTTTCAAAATGTATCTAAGAATGCAACAATTTGTTATTGGTCAATAGGGTCAGCTCTTCAAAGCAGTGGAAAATGGAGATATGGCTAGAGTGCAGGAACTAATACAAGATACGGGATCAGCTGTGAGGAAAAACAAGACCAGATGCACACTCCTTCATACTGCAGCGTCTCACAACCATCTGGTTGTGGTGATGTTTCTGCTTAAATTTATCAGTCCCAATGTTACTAACAAGAATGGACAGACTCCAGCTCATGTGGCCGCTGAAAAGGGTCACACACAAGTGCTGAAACTTTTAGTGCGTGACCCTGACTTTGAAGCCGACAAACGGGATAATCGTAACAACACAATAAAAACCCTAGTAAGTATTTATGATGGAATTTTAGATACTACAGCGGCATTAAAATCAGACAAGTTTGAATCCGAGACTCCAGCATTATAAGTTGAATTGTAGAGTACTAGAATACAATTAATTGCGCAAAAAGCATTTTCAGCTTGAGTATTTACTTTTCTAAATCAATATCGTTTTATTTTTATTTTAAGCTTGGTAGCCATCTGTTCAATGCCATATGAGAAGGAAACAAGAAAGAAACCGAAAAACTTGTGGAACTTGGTGCAGATCCAGACAGTCATGGTGGAAAGCTGGTGAACGGGTTGTTGGCACGAGAACTTGGAGTCACTACACCTCGCCTCCTGGCCAATGCCTTGAATATGGAATGGGCTATTACCATGTTTGCCAAGGTAATCATCTTATATCACACATTTCCTCAAACTGCCAACAGTGTCCTGAGAATAAAACATTTATGCGACATAATATAAGCTTTGGAAAACTTATACTGACTCCAAATGTTTCAGAAAGCAAGAAATGATAAGAAAACCGATGAAACTGGCTTTCTAACACCAGTTGCCTCAAACTCGGTACAACTCAAAGTGAGTAACTTATTTGTTGTACTTTGGAGATGAATTATATCATATTTATTTATTTTTTTTTTTCTACTTAAGATTCTATAACTACTTTACATTTCACTCAGGACAGACATCTTTCATTTCAGGTGCCCACACGACAGTTTAACGTGAGACATGCAACGGTAATTCAAGGAGGTGCTGATGTGTACAAGATGGACAAAGAAGCACGAGGCTTTGTTCGATCTTCAACTTCAGTTCTTTTGAGGACAGATCCGACCTGAACCTTCAGCAACTCGACTACGACGCTCGCATTATGTCAGATGTATTTGATAACATGGGATACAAGTGTAAAACACACTCGTCACCCACGGCTCAGCAAACTAAGGAAGTTCTGAAAAATATTCGGGATGCTGATGAGCTAACAGACGTCGGATGTGCAATATTTGTCATTTCTGGTTATAGTGTAAATGGCAGGAAAGTTCTTACGTCTGACATGAAATCTGTAGACATCGACTATATCTTAAATCTCTTCAAAGATTCGGAATGTCCTCAGCTCAAAAACAAGGCCAAACTTTTCATCTTTAACTTGTACAAGCTGAATGAAGTGATCACGACTTCAAGCAGTGAAACTCTAAAAGTGATGAGGGTGGCAGATCCACTCAACGACATGGCTTGTATCTATTCCAACAGCATTGGTTTCAACTGCATCTCGAATGGGAAAGGAACAACTTTCAACTGGTGTTTGTGTCGCACTTTGGCAGAGCATGCTGCTGACCAGGAACTTTGTGATTTTTACAGAGAATTCCTGAAATATTATAACAAGAGCTCTCCTACTTTCTCACCTGAATTGAGTTACTTTGGCTTCACCAAGAAATTCTTTTTTAATCCTATGTAAATTTGATGAGATCCTCTGTGCAGCAAGTTTTTTTTTTTATCTGATTTATACACCATTAATTCAAGAGATCTGCAATGGCATGTTAAGGTACTCGATATTTATTATTTAAAGAGTATTTCTAGACAAACACTGGCCATTAGGATAAATGTAGAAAAGTAACACTGTGGTGTAATTTCAGTATATCAACTATCAACAAAATATTTCAGCAACATTTCTTGCTTTGTAAATCTCGATATTTTCATTCCTTTTCCACCGATTCTCGACATATGGATGTATATTGAATGTACATATTTATATATTATACAGGACGAATGCTAGATAGGTATCTTCATATAACACATAATTTATTTATTATATTCAAGCAAATAATGTACTTGATATATCTAGTCATGTAAATGCTATATATTGTAAGCTTCTAGTATAAATACATCTAGCTTTTGTATTTAGCATTTTCCTATCCTGGTCTTTAGATCTCTAGCCTTACCTTATTTCTGTAAGAACATTACAAGAGAGAAAAACTTTCAATCCGATTAAATATTATTGAAAAAATGGACTAATTTTACTGTGAATAGATTCATTACACACACACATGATACAGGTAGACAGAACAGACACAGAGATAGAGAAATAGATTTGTAGACAGGAAGATGTTCCTATTTCTTTGTACGACAGACGAGGCAAACAGGATTGCCGATATCCTCGTATTTTCTAAGAGATAGGGATACAGATATGCTAAACGGATGCAGGATGTGGTTTATCGTCATATCTGGCGATAAACCTCTGTTTTCATTACAATATTTCTGGGAGATTAACCTGAGTAACTAAAATAATCTTTGTGGCCGTGGATGTATGACTCATAGTTAATGAAACTCTGTGCATTACTGTGTGCGATGTATTATGATTTTTTATCAATATGCATAAACATATAGGCATAAATGTGTATATACAAATATGTCATTATATATATGTGGGTATATATACATATATATTTGTATATAGATAGATATATACGTACGCATATATGTATACATGTAAATATACATATGTATTAATATATACATCACGGAACGGATGCTCGCCGGATTTAATGTCCTCTTTTATATATGTATATATACATATATAAAGAGGCCATTAAATCCGGCGAGCATCCGTTCCCTGATAGCGCTCGGGCCTTCCTTGTGGAGGCCATTAGGACCCTACAACATCGACTATGGAACTCCGGAATGAACTCGAAGGCGAACACTTTCCCCATGAGCTCGTCCTCCAACTACAACAGATCATGCAGGAAAATCATGCTCAGCGAATCCAGCACAAGGCAAAATTACACCGTACATGCAGCAAGAGCAGATGGACTAAAGCTGGACGAAGTGATCTTCTCAGAAACATGTCTTCAAAACACCTGACTCCCTTTGAAAAGAAGCCCTCTCCCTTGGCTTGAAATTCAGCACCGGGCAGGAAAGCAAGGACCTAATCGACTACGTCATTTCGAACCACCGCTGGGCCAATAGTGAAGTCGACAAAGGATTTGTCCAAAAGATTGCTGCATGCTGTCTGGCTGATGCGTCGTTACGCCCTCCGGCGATCCCTCGCAGATATATCACCGCGCTGAAGGATCTCCCCGACGACGAGATCATCGTCATCACCCACTGATAAAGTGAGTTCATACTTAAAATGAACAATCTACTTTCCGATTCTTCTGTTTACAGGAAAGTAACGAAAGGTGAGGGGAAGATGGAAATTGCCAGATTCAAGCTGAAGGTAAAGGCCTACTTCACCTGCTGGAAGAGCCTCCCCGCAACCCGTCCATGAGAGTATTTGGCTAAACTCCTCTCCGTCGTTATGGGGGTCATTAATGATTCCCACTCCGGGGAATATCTCGAGAGTTCCGGGTGTAAAAATAAAAAGCTTGCCAGTTTTGATGTAAAATCCCTCTCCACCAATGTACCCACAGACGGAGCAGTCCGAGCAGACGAGAGGGTCACCAGCTCCATGACAGAAGCTAAACTTCGTTCGCCTGCTGAAGTTATGGGTGGACTTCGGCTACTTCTAACTTGCTGGGGAAGAATACCAGCAGATAAGTATTCTTGCCATGGGCTCCTTCCTGAGTGCTCTCATGGCCTGTCTGTTCATGGAGACGCTGGACAGGGATAATTACAAGGATATAATTAGCAGATATTGAACTTGACGTAGATGATGTCCTCATCATTGTCTCTAGAAGGTAGTGCTTACAACACACACTGACGCGACTTAACTCCGTCCACGAGAAAAAACAGTTCACCGTGGAGGAAGAGGATCAGAAATGATCTTTCTTGGACACTGATCCATCGGGGTGACGACGGCCTACATTTCTCTGTATATAGGAAACCTACAAATAAAGATGATTATATACATTACTATTCCGCCCACAGCAACAAAAAATCTGGTGTTGTAATCGTCTTTTTCCTCGGAGCACTGAGGATCTGAGGGTGAGGTTGCTTATATGGTTAATTCTTTCATGAAACATAAATATCCCAGAGGCTTCCTACTAAACCTCAGAAAGAAGGTGGAGAACTTACAAGATCAGACCCTGCACCCTCTTATAATAATTTTCGTCAAATTACCGCCATGTAACATTTCCCAGGCGATCGGCAGATACTTCGGCAATACAGTGAGAATCGCCAGCACATAAAGATATGTGACATAATACGAGACAAGAAGTAGCCCGAATGCAACCCTAATAGTGCTGTATATCGCATACCCTACAGCAAATGCGATACATCATACTTTAGTGAAATAGGCCGTGGTTTCAGCACCAGGATCAGCGAATATCGAGCTGACATCCGTCACCATAGGACTTCCAACGCCATGGTGCTACGTATAGATGAAGCTGGACATCTACCCAACTGGAAGAAAGCGAAAATAGTCCATGGAAGACTGAACAGGCGAAAAAGAAAAATTATGGAAGCTACCTACATCAGTACATAATATCAACGCAGCATCGGACAGATTCAAACTATCCAAGGTCGCGGCAGCAATTATACGGACAAAGAATGGGAGGTCACAGTCGTCAGGTGTTTCGTCAGCTCATGTCTGATATATATAAATTCTGTATTGTAATGTATGTATTTCTAACGAAGATGTAATCGAAACCGGTCAAATACATCTCTTGTATTGTGAAGATATTAATTTTCATTCATACTTTTTCTACATATATATATTCATGTATTTATGAATTTATACATCAGTGTATATGTATACATATGTATTAGCATACACACGCACATATATGTATGTAAATATGTATATGTATATATATATATATGTTTACTAATTAATTTATTCATGCACTGTATATGTATCAGTATATATATGTTTATATATATATGCATGTATGCATATAAATGTGTCTATATATTATATATATATATATTCATCTATCTATATGCTGTTTATGTATCAGTGTGTGTATATATAAGTATATATAATTATATATATGTACACACTGATACATAAATATATATATATATATATATATATATATATATATATATATATATATATATATATATATATATATATATATAAAGAGAGAGAGAGATGAATTTATATATCAGTGTATATGTATACATATATATTAATATACTAACACATATATGTGTTTGTATTATATATGTGTACATAAATATATACATACATATATATGTAGGTACCTGTGTATATACGTAAATATGTGTATGCACATCATATGTATATATATATTCTTATTTATTCGTTTATTTTCACACAGTATATGTATCAGTAAATGTATATATACTCTTATATATATGTATACAAGTATGTATATATGTATTTATATATGTATATACATATATGTATATAAATATATATATGTATATGTATATATACATATATGTATATAAATATATATATGTATATGTATGTGTATATATACATATATGTATATAAATATATATATGTATATGTGTATATATATGTATATGTGGGTAAATAAGTGTATGTATATTATATATATATATATATATATATATATATATATATATATATAATTCAAATAAAGATACATGTATGTATATCATTGTGTGTGTATATATAATATATAAATATACATCAGTGTATATATATATATATTAGTATATACATATATGTGTGTGTGTGTGTATGTGCATATATGTGTATGTGTGTGTACTGATTATAATATATATATACACATATATGTATAAATGTACCCATATATGTATACATATAAAAGATGTAAAGGAAATAAATAATTTTTAATAATTTTTATCTTTAATAGAATAAAACATTTGTATAAAAAATATACATATGTATGTATATATATACATACATATATATATATATGTATATATATATACATATATATATATA